GATATGCATGTTCATTTTGGTGACAACGACAGCGTAAGATTTTCACTAGTGCGAGCGTGCGCTAGTGGTGATGTTGCTCAGCGTTTGACGCAGTACAACCTTCAGCTTGAGGCAAAAAGTGGCACACGTCTCTGGTTTGCCAGGGTTCCCACTGAATGCAATATCAGTGACTATCCCTCCAGGCAACAGTCACATCCTCTGCTGGGCATCGAAGAAGACATGTCTGGAAAAGCGAAAGAGTTTCTGCAAAAGATCCTGGAGGTTTTGGCAAACAATGGGACCGCATGACATAAAAGGGGGAAGCCAGTCACGCGACCCCATGTGCAAAAAGAGTTGCTGCGTTGTCCACTGCCTCAATGAAGTTTGACAGTGCAGCTCATGAAATGATCAAACAGTCAAAACGCAATTGAAAACAAACGGCGGTTTGTGGGCAGTGTGACTTTGTTTGTGACCTGGCACGACTCTGGAAGTATGAGATGCCGCGAATACCACGGTAGGACGCTAGGCGACACGAATCTGTCGTGCAGACTTTGTGACATTTCCTGCAGTTGATCTTCAAGGGTAGCGGTGTGGTGGGCGCGTTTCATGTCTTGGCTGAAAATCGCCCCACCCACTGCCACCACAATTTTCAGCCATCATTTTCCTTCGCTGGACTTCTTCAACATTCACTTGCCTTGTCGGCCAAAAGGGCCTACCCAACCGTCCAGCCAGTCACGCGACCCCATGTGCAAAAAGAGTTGCTGCGTTGTCCACTGCCTCAATGAAGTTTGACCATCATCATCATCATCATCATCATCATCACCATCATCATGATCATCATCATCGTCGTCATCAGAATCATACTTGTTATTACAAATGTCATTATTATAATATATATATATATATTAGTATTATTATTGTTGTTATCAAATTATCATCATCATTATTAATATCCTTTTAAAACAATATTATTACTGGTACCACTGCTCTTATCATCATATTTTATTTAATCTTCACTCCTGTACGGCAGCTGCTTGGGTTTTCTGCCAAAGTACAGGATGTTCAGGTCCCCAAAGCGATGTGGAGCCAGGCTTTGGAGGTTCGTGGCAAGGAAGTTCCTAAGCTTCCGAAGCTAGGTTTTTAAGGTTTTCCAAATGCAGGGGTCCGAACTGCAAGGTTTTCAACGACGATTTTCCAAGAGCAGATGCTTGGTGTCTGCAGCTGTAGCGAAGGAGTGAAGACCTAAGAGCAGTTCTGGAGTCTTGAAACCATTTCCCTTGCGGTTCTCTAACTTAGTTGACTTGGTTCCGGTTAATGAAGTATATCCTGAGGTTCCCTGCAGGCCGCCAAGCACAAAGATGCAGGCCACAGAGCAGGTCTCGATTCAGGTTCCCAAGGTTTCCAAGCAGAAGGTCCCAAGCACTCAGAACCCTTTGAAAAGTTCAACAAAGGGTTTCCAAGGTTTGCAAAGTTCGAAAAATCAGGTTTCCAAGCTTGCCCAGAGTTGCAAAGGCTGCTAAGGTTCCCAAGTGCGCAAGGAAAAAGAGTTGGCTTGGCAGCCAAGCTAAGCCAAGCTAAAAGTCTGGTAGTGTAACAGGGGGTCTATGCACTGTCTATGCACGTTTTCTCCTTCAGCCTTTGGCCCTTGTGGCGTCATTCCTCCCAGCTATCTCTGCCTGAACCACTCGTCACCGTCGTCACCGTCTTCGTCTGGTGCAGGTGTCTTTGCCAGGGCAAATGTTTATATCAAGTGCATTGTAAGCATTGTAAACAAGAACACGTAGAAATTCTTTCTGCAGCACAGATACTGAACGAGTCTGGATCTATTGTGGGCTGCTCACGAACACGTTCCCAAATACGGGTTGGAACAAGGTTTCCGAACGAACATTCGTGAATGAACTGGCTCCGAAGCAGAATTCCTAAAGTTGTTCCTAAGACCAGGTTCCGAACAGACGGCTACCAAATCCATGGTTGGCCACACATGATCCCAAAGGAATTTGAAGAAAACTGTTTGCACAGGGCACTTCCCAACGAAATAAGATTTCCAAAAACACAGGGTTCCTCCACAAAGGCCCTTTGATGGGTTTTGCAGGCCAGGTTCCTGCGAAAAAGGTGAGCAAAGGAAGGTGGTTTAAGGTGCAAGGACAGCACTGCATGAGAAACCCGATGTTTTTCTGCTGTTGGGACATCCTGAATTGTTTCATACATATCTGCATGAATCTACATACCTTTTGATTCTGTTGAGTAGATGGTCTCCTTCCAACTTTTGTTGATCATATTTGATCATATTGTTTCCACCTATTTGAAATCGTTTCTGTGCGCAGAGTCGCAGTGAAAGTTGGGGCATCCGACCAGCGTCAGGGAAGCCTTTACGATGTGTTGGGTGTGGATAAGAATGCCAGCGAACAAGAGATCAAGAAGGCACGTTTCATGTGGCAGCTCGTAACTGGTCACGTGATTCGCAGTGAAGTCATTGAGCTGAGTTGTAAGGTTGCATACAGACCCACCGTTGACAGCAACCGATTCAGTCTCTGTTTAAAGTGACATAAAGTAACATAAAGTGATATAAATCAAGATATAAACTGACATAGTCACCGTGAGGACTACCACCTGAAACACCCCCAGCTCAGCTGTGATAGAAGGCTTGCACCCCGCCAGGCGTACAAGCGAGCTGCTGTGAAGTTTCACCCTGACAAGGTGGTAAACCTGTGATGAGAGGGCGTGCTGGCACTGAAATTGGGCACTTTGTCATCCTCGAAAAGGGAGATTCGGAATTTTTGGGTGGTATATGGTGGTATAAAAAAAGCTTTGGCGGTGTCAACCCTTGTGTGAGGCCAAGACTGTTGATGGCAGGGGAAATGATGAGCTGCCACTTCCCACTGCTTCGAACTTGGTCCCCACAACTAGTCAGAATTGTTAGAGGTGGGGTCATGGGATGCGACCAATCCCCAATGTGCACGCTGTGCACACCAAACCTTCTCTTAGCCAGGCTCCTGAGAGCGAACGTCCTCAGTACGAGGCTCTTCTGTGATCGACTGCAGTGCTGGTGCCATCTGGTGCCCAATGATACCCATGGTGGATCATGGTGGGGTGTACTGGGTGTACCGGGTGTACCGGGTGTACTGGGTGTACCATCTCAGGAGCGCTTTAAGCGAATCTCGAGGGCCTACGAGATCTTATCAGATCCCGAGAAACGCGGCTGGGCAGTGACCGTTGGAGAGGTTAGCCTGGGCAGCGCAACAAAGGGGCGGCTAGATTATTTCATATTATTTCTCTTGGAGGTGCGATTGTTTAGTTGGAGATTGCGACTAATTCACCCTACTAATAGCTGCTTGCTGTAGATTGGACTATATATGTTGACATATATACAGTGGGTGCCAGATGATATGTTTCTTCAATCCTCGATCCTGCGACTTACAAATGCCCTGGAAGGACGTTGTGCAAGATGAATCACCCAAAAAGGGCAATCACCTTGCACTTTGGGGGGGAAGGTTCAATCTTTACTCATACTTCTGTAGGCAAAATCGCCATCTTAATGACATGCAAAGACACACAAGGCAAATGTCACATGTTCGTTAAAAGTAGCCTAGTCATGGCAGGTGGCAGGTGATTTATCTTTCCCCATTTCTGCACCAGATATGCACATAGTAAGCAAGATTTCATGATACCACTAGCTTATCAGCTAGCTTATCAGCTAGCTTAGCTAGTAAAACCTTTTTGGAGTTCTTGCCAGTCCTGCCACTTCTAAATTCCAGCATTTGGATAGCTTGAGCCAGGTCCGGCCATAGCCACGCACATTTACGCAGCCATCCGGCCGACCAAGGTCGAGCCTATGACCTCAGGGGCGAGGCATGTCGGATGTCGTGAATGAACAGTGAAGATTGGATGAACATGATGTCATGTTCTGTGAATGATGAATCATCAGATGTTTATCTGCTCCAATCTGATACGAGTTGGTAGTATAGATAGCATACAATCCTATTAATGGTATACTACTTGTAACATTTTTTGGAACTGCAAAGCTTTCAACATCTAGTTGATTTGATGGTATTGTATGGTATTGTTGTCTGAGATCTGATCCCCAAAAAGTGCAATTTTCATATCGCAGATACATCTGCCATTCTGCATCCTGCACCAGTCCGCCTTCGATGGTGCCGGCGGTGGCGCACAGGGGGGCTTTGGCACCGGGCCCTGGCAGCCATTCCTGCTATCGTTGCTGCCAGCAAGGGCATTGACCATGGAAAGATTTGGTAAGATTTGGTAAGATTATATGAAATGCATTGACATGTCTTGAAATGTGACGGTTAATTTGTACACCTTGGATCTTTAGCAACCGCCTGACGCTGCAGAGATTCCATGAGCCCATGGGGTTCGGGTGCCTCTGAGGCCCTGGAGTTGATCCTTTTGACATGTTCAGGCGGAAGTGGATCTGCTTTGCATCTGCCATGAGTTTCTATCTTCAATTCCTCACCAAGGCAATTCCCATTTCGTTGATTGTGTTGGGCAGCCTGATATCACTGATATCAGCGCTCCCGACAGCACATTGGAGTAAAAGCATGCCGCATGCCTCAATCAATCGGGGCCCCACCATTGACAGACCATATAATATACTGTTCATGACAATAGCAAGTGAAATTATGAAACTAGACAATTCAATCCAGACATCTACAGAAGTACTACGTCCTTGCCTTCATTGATCGAATCTGGGAATCTCTGGCTGAAGGAGTATGTTTGGCCAGAACTTTGGCTTCGGTGTGGCGCGCACGCCTGATGTAGGCCGCTTGGAACATGGGACGTTCCATGAGCCGAAATGAAGTGATTTGCCAGTGTCACTTGAGAGCTTAGATTGGCTGCAAAAGACGGACATGCAAATAGATCAAATAGATAAACGATGATGAAGGTATGTCTCATTGACTCGTCTTGGCATGGTCATATCGCCCATGGCTCAAGAATTGACTTCTTCAAGCCTCCACCCATGTCATCCCATGTCTCTGTGGAGGCTACGAAGTTGAAGTGACAATGGAGGCTGGGTCTGGTTGTGGGGCCTGACTGGACAAGACTTGGCAGCCATCACTTGCTAATGAGCGGTTTCCATGCAGAGAGGGTGAATCCAACAGCATTAAATTGTTTGGGTTAACATACTGCAACAGACAAAGAAATACCTTATTGCCTTTCATTTCAGCATATGGTCAGCGCAACATCGATTGTTGAAAATCTCAACATGCGACAACTTCATCGATTTTTGTGTTTTACTGCTCAGAGATTGTATATCATTCACTAACTCAAAATGAACAACATTGCGAGATTGTTCTTCAAACGTATGCAATGAATAATATATATATATATATAACATTACATATCTATTACTTTTGCGACTTTTGCCAGTGCTCAGTGGGGTCGTGGGTCTGGATTCTGCAAGGAGATGTACAAGGGCTTCAACAAGAGTGTTCGCTACGACCGGGAGCGCTGGGCCATGCTGGGCCAATGTGTGCTTGTCAGATAGCTTGGTCGCCAGAAAATGGAGGTCGTTGACGATTGACTTAAGAGGTCTAAAGAGATTATATAAAGAATTATAAAGATATCAAAGTGATTCAAAGTGTTCATATCATTTGATGTCCCCGGATGTCCCCCTACTTCGAGTTGTGAATCCAGGGAAAAAGCTCGCCTTGCTGTTCAAGATTGGGTTAGGCAGCTTTCGTGTGAGCTGGAGGAAGCCAGAGAGAACTTGACAGGTGATAGGCAAAAGGCGCCACTGCTGCGTTCTCACTGGTCAGGGATTCTTCAGAAGGAGACCCTTGACCCCTGGAGTTTGTTTCACTCCCCTAAATTTTCTTGCAGTCGGATCACATTTGGGATTCCAGACCGCATACAGGACCACATTTTGGGTTCCACCGCTCCCACGGCCCCAAGTGCTGTGGAGCCGCCGGCGCAGGACGCAGTCTGCCGAACCTGTCAAGGGATGGGGGCCACGCAGATCGAAACCTGTGCCTCGACACTTGTGGCACCCCAGGATGACAGGTGGCCTTGTCCAGAAAATGGTGGATGCCCCAATTTTTGTGGCAATTTTTATATGCGAACTGAGGATCAACCATCAAGTTTTGGGATATCCCATTTTCAGACAGACCCAGCCCACATCGTCGTTCTAAGCTGAAGGCAGTGGGTTGCTCAAACACCGGTAGTAGCTACTGGGGATTTTTTGATGGCTTTGTCACGCATGGAGGGAAGATTGAGGTTGGTGAATTCCGGTGCAGAACCAAGCTTAAATGAGTCCCTGATTCTGTTGTAGGCCGTGATGGCTTCAGAGAGGTTACATTGAGCTAGGACTCGGGACCTGAGACATATGTTTTTTTTCTGTTTTGAATGGAAAAATGGAAGGATGCTCACCGATATTGGGGTACCCAAGTTTGCCAAGCGCTAACAAGGGATTTTGGAGAATATTCCAAGAACCTTTGCTGGATGGTGGCACCATAAATCTGAAAAACTAGGTTTTTGCAAGCTTATTTTTCGGCCAAGCACCTAAGCTTTTTGCATTTCTGGAGGTGTTCGGGCCCACGTGCAAGCTGAACGTAGCTTCCTGGAGTTTCGAAACGTTTCAGGATTTCGTAGTTTCTAGAAAATAGTCTCCAATCTTCATGTTTTGCTGTAATGACCTACTAGAAAGCAGACAAACTTTCACTTGATGGTTATCCGGCAATGGCGACCCGCGAACTTGCCCAGGTGTGTTTTGCAATGGCCGTGGAGTGATTGTCGAAGATCGGCAGGCACTTGGGTGCACTGCAGAATTTTGCATGGTTGCTGCCGACAGTCTCGAAAACAAGTAAAATCGAGTTAGTTCTTCTGCAGTTTGTCTTAGTTCAAAAGTGCTGACACCATGATCTCCGGACCAAGTCCTTTCCCTGGCTTTCCCAGTCCCCATGGTCCCCATGGTCCCCATTGGCAGGTGGGTCCTGGTTATTTCCAGCGAGTGCAACGTCACTGCCAGCGCTGTGGGGGTCAGGGTGCGCAGGTGCACCTGGGATAGGGACAAAGGCGGTGGGTATCTGTGAAGGTTTTGATTTTAGTATGGCATGGTATGGCACAAAATTTGAGTACGTTTACCTATGTTGACATATTTTATATAATTGTCATTAATTGTCTCGAAATGGGGAGTCGATAACTTTCACCCAGACCCATTTTGATGTTTGAAAATTGAAAGGAACTTACTCATGCTGTGCTGAAGCCAGATGGCCACAGGCAAGGAACCGCTGTTCCAAGTGCCGTGGCAAAGGCTTTGTCAAAGAGCAGGCTGCTGCCTGCGATGGCTCTGGGAGTTATGTGGGCTGTCCCAACACTATTAGTATGACGTAACTTAAACTAGTTTGATGCAGGATTATTTCATAAAGAGTAATGGCAAGTGTATGTTAGACATGTCCAAAACGTGAAACAGATTCACATGTTTGGCGGACATGTCTTTGAACCAATTTCTTGTGATGGGTGAAATGAAGCTCAAGTGAGCCTATATGTCATTTTGATTTTTCGTACCTCATTGCCATGGATTGCTTTTAGTCATTCTGGACCTGGCATTTTGAAGCTTTGGAGCTCTGCTTGGCTATTGGGAGCTGTGTTCTACAGCATTTCTGCCTGTTCACTTTCATACTGGGCTCATGTCGTTACCTTGGGATCCATGGCACAACGACTAGAGCAATGGTTTCAGATCCTCCAGTGATGACTGGCCCTAAAAATCAAACAACAGATCACGACTCCGAGCACTCGGACCAGGAGGGTATCCCAAGGAAATAAATATGATATATATATATGATATATATATATAATATTATAAAATGGTATCCTGTGAAATCATCCAACCCAGATTCCTAGATCGCAGATTTCGTTTTTTTGGGTGCAACTTAGACAAGTAGGTTGCAGCTGGTTGCAGAATGTGACATTCCGAGCCTTCCAACCCCATCTTTGGGTTCTCAGTGTGCCTCCAGGTGGACCTCAATGTTTCCGCTCCTCCGGGCTGTCCGGACAGGCGCAGATTGCACAGATTCAAGGGGTCAAAATCCATGTTTTCTGTCCGGGGATTTTGTAGCCAACGAATGGTGTTGTAAAAGCGATACAACAAACGTGAACAACTGGAAAGCAGAACAAATGAGTCCTAGACTGGCTAGACTAGCCAGCAGGACAGGTCCCCTGTGTCAGTATTGTCGGCATGGGTAAGGGTAGTTGAGCCAGCTTGCGTCATGTTTTGGTCGGGTTTGGCATGGAAGTGATAAATTGTATACCCTCATGTGTGCATGCATCTATGCATGCATGTATGGGTGTATTTTTTGATATATATATATATCTAATATAATATAATATAATATAATATAATATTATATATATATATTATATTATATTATATTATATTATATTATATTATATTAAATTATATATTAGTTTATTTTATTATATTATATTATACTATATTATATTATATTATATTATATTATATTAATTAACTTATTTATTTATTGTTAAAATTAATTAACAAATTAATTTATTGGTTTGTTTAATCTTCAGCCTCCAGTTGCATTTTGCGCGCACCTCGGGTGCCAACGCCCCACAGAATGCCAACCTCTCGCGATAATCGAGAAAAAACTTGACACAAAGGCTGGTTCGGAGACGCTCAGGGAGTGAAAAAACATGATGTTCACTTCAAACCTTGTCCCGAAGCAGATGGTGGATACTAGTTAGTTAGTGCTATTACAAGTCTCGGGCCAGAAATACTACCATGATCCTCAGCAACCAGCAACCACCTGAGATATTTTTGCAGGGAAACTAAATGCAAATGGCAGGCCAAAAAGAAAAGCAAACAATCCATGAAACACATTGTCCTCTGAACAAGGTTTTGGTACGTGGAAAGATGTAGGGGCGAGACATCAAGACAAACGATGTCAAACATCGTGCTGTAAGAGAGCCATGCAAAAAAAGCCGAATCTAGGGATTGTGTTCAGATTGTACATGCCTTTCAAACCTGAAATCGCTTGTACCTTCAGCCACAGGAACCGATAATGCTAATTGACCATCATTTTATTCATGAGGCTCTAACTCGGGTATCCTACCGTAGGAGTAAAATTTGAGGACACCGCACTCTTGCTGCAATCAATGCTGACGGTAATTGAAGATTATAGTTTGGTGAAAGTTGTCAATGTTTTCGTGCAGCCTTCGGGGGCTAAATCCAGGGGAAATTTGATGTGTATTTAATTTTTCATTTTTCACGCCTGTCAAACTGGCCGCTGCTATATCTTTGAGTGATACACGCAAATTTTGATATCATGGCAACAGGGAAGTGCGCACCTGGGGATGATGTAAAATGGTCACCACTGACATTGTAACAGAAGCTATTTTCATAAAGACTTTGGGGAATGATTTCAGGGACCGTTTTGTATTTTTTTTTCAAACAAACCACTGCTACATCTTTGGATGACAGACGCCAAATTTGATATCATAGCCAAGGGGCAAAAAGGGGGTGATGGAGAGGAGTCACGAATGACATTGCCAAGTAAACAGTCCAGTGATAGCTGCAACTATTTTCCTGAAGATTTTGGGGAATAGTTTCAGGGACCGTTTTGCATTTTTCACGCCTGTCAAACACACCACTCCTACATCTTTGAATGACAGACGCCAAATTTGATATCATTGCCAAAGGGGAAGTGCGCACAACGGGGTAATCCAAAGTTGCCAACTGCCTAAGGGATGTCTGAAATCATGGGAAAAGAAGAATCGCTGCGGCTGTTCCTGCTGCTGCTAGCTGCTGCTGTTGCTACTGCTTTTAGCAGCTTTTGTTCTCTTTGTGCATTTTGGCTCAAATGGCTTCGAAACTAGCTTCGAAAGAAGAAAAGTACCAAACGTGACATCTGAAACCTTAGAAAAGGAAGAATCCCTGCCGTTGTTCCTGGTGCTGGCACTTCTTTTTGTTTTGTCGTTTTTATTCTTGTTCGCATCGCTTCTGTTCTTGTGTATTTTGGCCGAAATGGCTGCCACACAAGCTGAATAGCGTTTTTGCCTATGTTTGAAATCGTTTTGGAAACGTTCCGCCGAAACAGAAAAACTGCCTGACTTTGTTGTTGTTTTGAACTTGATTGTGTCTATTTGTCCGAGACCGCTGGCAAACTAATTTTCATATATTTGTCGCTGCTGCTCTGGGTAAGGGTGCGAAGATAGGGATTCTCTATACTTTTGAACTGAGACCGCTGGGCAACTAGTGATTTGGACTTTGTTAGTTTTGTTCTTGTTCTTGTTCTTCTTGTTCTTGTTCTTCTTGTTGTTGTTGTTGTTGTTCCCCACTCTCCGGCGCTCCCCTTTGCTGTCAGCCGGGGTATATATATATATATGTATAATGTGTATGTGACATGTGTCTATGAATATATCATTGTATGATCAGTATGGCTCTGAAGACACACTGTAGGATTTCGCATCAATCAGTAGAAAACACCCCATACGGCGAGGAAACGATTCATGTTCCAGGGAAAGGCTGATGAGGTGGGACGGAGCTGCGGGGGCTATGGGGTGGCATGCCACCAGGTGTCATTGGTTGAGGGTTTTGAGCAGTTTGAAGAGCTGACGCTCAAATTTGACCCGGAATTATTTGCGAACCGGGACATATATGAACATATCATATTTTGTGAGTTGGGAAGCGAAGGAATCCTGAAAGGTGCAATCAAAATCCCGGAAGAAACCATCATGCTTGATGTGGAGATTTTAGGATTCAGCAAGTTGCTGGATGGCAGAGTGATTCTGGTGAGCAAGGGTCAGCGGTCCAGGGGAAGCTGGGTGTTTCTTGGGAAGGAAGCCGATACCCTGCGCCTTGGCAGCTCTTCCAGGAACACTGATCAAACCCCACCGCTGTCAAGGGCAAACAATGCTTTACACGAATGATCAAATTAAAGGTACAACCTGTGGTTTGAGAATGTGACCATGGCCTCCGCCCTTGGTCTCATGCCAAGCATGTTAGACAAAAGGGACCAAGGGAACCAGTTCCACGCTGGAAAGAGTAGTAGTAAACGTCCAAAGATCAAAGTACAACCTCCAGCTGCATGGTATTTTACCATATATTACATTACATATTATATACATATGCATATTTGCAATATATTTTACCATTGGAGAAGATCAATGGTATGTGACCAGCAACTTTACATCTGCCACGATGCTTGGCCATGGACTTGCCATCAGAGGCACTGGGGGCTGAGACCCTCGAAGCCTGTACGTTTTGGGTGAAAAAAACAGATATGATCCATTGTAGCTAACTGGGATGCTCCCAAAAGGTGTTTTTGACCCTGGACCCACCGGATTCCTTCCAATTTTTTTTGTACTTGTTGAATGCTGCGGTAGGATTTCAAGCGTGGGCTGGGTTGACGCCTAGGAATATGTGCCACGACTAGTCTCAGACCCCTTGGTTTCACCCGCTTCTGTTTGCAAGTTTTTGGGAACGCTTGTGGGCACACAATTTTTGAAGCATGCCTTTTAGCAGCCTATATTTCTTCATATATTTAGGCTCCCCCAAAAAAGCAGGCGCTGCTGGGCGTGCTTCTGCTGCTGGCACCACCGCAGCTGGCAGCATTGGGGGCTGCAGCCAGAGTCTGGCGCCAGGTGTGACGGTGGGCTTTCTTGGAACAAGATCTGTTAAAAATGATAAGGAAAAGGAGGATGTAAATTAAATCTCAATTAATGATATTTACACAGGAAATCCCTATCTTGGGCATGTTGGTCGCTTAAGCTAGATATTGGTTGGTCTTGTGGCTTTGTTTTTGGAGCCCCGTTTGAAACTACTATGTAAAGTGTAACTGGGTAAGCAATTGAAAACCGGAGGATGACCATTGAGCTTGATCGCTTGCTTGTGAAACACGCGAGATGAAATCGGGGGTATTAACGAGAAACATGTAGAGGTCGCCAGCAATTCTTGTTCTGTACACCCGATAATTAATTCCCTATGGTCTTTTGGACACTGGTCACCGACTGGTGTTCCCCCGGTAATCACGAATGATATGATATACTGCCAAGTTGAGGTGACTAGATGAATTCATGTCGCATCTGTTGGTGAACTGTGCCAGTCTCCATGGTTCCACCGCACAGGCGCTTCGAAATCCAGAGCTTCTTGGCCAAGTTCCACGAATGACCATCAATACTTCCGATCCCATTGTCCGCCTCCCTTGGTTTGCATCGGCTTAAGGCTATGGCGTCAGCAATTCCTCCGGCGCGGCGGCGAAGATCGCCAATCCTCCACGCGGCTGTCCTGGCGGCTGCAGCTGGTGCCCAGTGGGCTGTTGATCCAACTAAAGTCATTTTCAGTATTTAACCAGCCAGTTTTGGGGATTTGAGTCAGAGTCATCTCCAGGTGTCCATGTTCTAAGAGGAACATCCAATGGATTGTTGGATGATGCAAGATGCAGCTGTGATGTTTGGCCCTTGCCTTCAGAGTAGCGATGGAAGGTTTCGTGGCCATAGATACTTAGCATGCGTCGGGGGAAACGTCCATTTGTTTGCACCTCTTCATTGTTGCCAGGCTGCATTGATCCGCAAGGAATTGGAGCAGGCCATGAGGGCAGGCAGGTTGAAACATCATAGTACATACACTACACACATTTTCGTTACATTATCTCTATGTGTATGTATATATATATATACACATACATATCACATACACACATATATCATGTATATATATATATACATTATATGTATGTAAATAAACACACACACAGACACACGGTTTTTACAAGTTCTATCTATGTTTTCTGAGGAATAATTTACGAAGATCGACATGCCTTTGCAGAGACATACATCAATCTATGTGGGTCAGGGACGCTTTTTTAGAAGTTAAAGGTATCACCAGATAGTTGACCAGCAGGGCTACTACAAATATAGACATGAAGGAAATACAGGATCGACTAAGTGGAAATGTATGCCCTTGAAGAAGGTTTGCAACAAATGGGGTGTCAGCTTTCAGTTTTTTGCCCATTCTAAGAAACCATCAGAAGCCATCATGTATTGATTCCGGGAGACGATTAGCGCCTGAATATCCCCCTTCTACGGACCGCAACTAGATTTTTTCCCAAGAAAAGAATATGTTTCACAATATATAGTTAGTTTGATCTTGTCGATCCTGTAAGTACCAACATGTTTTGAAAGTAAGACAGATGATGCACTTCGACAATGTTGGATGATCTGTGACTGGATGCTTTGGAGTCTAGAATGACAGCTAAGATCATTTATAATATTTCGTAGTATGTAACATGTATATATCACGTTTCTTGGATTCTTAGATTGAAGCAGTGTTTTCCCGGCAAGATCGCTCCGCAGGAACTCTAGAAGCCCTGAGTATTGCAAAGTACTTCAAACAGACGACCTGTGGATTTCTGCCTTGAAATAAGAAGCCGACAGAAAAGGCTTTTCTTGTACGACCAGTTGATCCACACTTTGCAATGGTTGTTATAACTGTTATATGTTGTTATCAACAACCAGTAACCAGAACCTTTCGAAATCCTGATCTCCGCCATCCCATAGCTTTCCAGGAGCGCTCGCGTCTGCTGCGAGAGCAGGGCAGATTGCACCAACTGCGGCAGCTGCAGCGAGAACGAGACCTGGTGGCAATTCCTGGGATTCAGATGTGGCAAAATGAAATAAAATGAATAAGAATTTAGTTGAACATAGGAAGAAGGAAAATCTGCATGCCTATAGTTTGAACTTGTCCTTTTGACTTTGGCTGGATCAATTGGAGTATCCACTTCACCTCAGGAAGTCACTGGGACCATACGATTCCGGGCTTGAAAATAGCCAACTCTGCTGGGCAACCGGATGCCACAAAGGTAAGAAGAGGCAACAGGAGCTCAGGCTGCTGCCGTGATCGAACAAACTCCAGAGCTTTGGGATGCCATGATGCCAGAATGATGCCATGCACTTAGAACTTCCTAGGCGGTGATTTCCGCTGCAATTTTCTAGGCGGCTTCTGTTCTAATGGACTTGCAAGGTGCCGGCAACTTTTTTCTCAAGAGCGCCCACATGTGGCCAGATGTGACAAAATGAAGGGACTGGTCAACAAAGCATGGCCGCATGATTGCAGCAAATTGCACCAGACAATATCATTTCAGACCCCAACACTCACCACTGGCAAGATAGCCACCTCCAACAACCCTACTTTTGCAGAGGTATAGGCATCGACCAGCAGTCCAACCAGAGGATGTGCAGCTGAACTGTTACAGCAGTGGGCTCACGTAGAACATTTCGGCTGTGCGTTTTCGCCATGGCGCCGAAAGGCTGACTGGATATCAATGTTCCAACCCGAACATACAATCGTGTTTTCATAGGATGCTGGTAAAGGCACTTGCCAAATCCGATCCTTGGGCATACTTATTGTATTTATTATCGTTTTTCTGACTCCCCATGGTGTGTCCCGAGATGTTTTGGAACATGCTGTGTTGGGGAACCGTCGCAGCCAGGCAAACAGACCCCGGTAAGCGCAGAGCCAAAAGATTGGCTGTCGCGGGTGAAGGCAAATGGGGTACATAGATTGAGTTGCACAATGAAAGCCCAATGCCACATGACGAAAAGTTTGTCGTCCTTGCCGACTTACATCTGAAGAGTGGACAGGTTGCACTTGAAATTTTGATACAGTAAATTTTGTTTTTTTGACCATAAGGCTCTTTTCCACCAAGCTGCACCCACGTACCAGGGCGCCGTCCAGATATACACGGGCGACCAAGAGGGTGACCTGTTCCGAGTGAGAATGCAGGCACGGCGCTTAACGGCAACGGCATTCCATCGGCATTCCATCGACGCATCCACAGGTGTCGCTCGCGAAGTGCCTGGACGACTGGGAGAAGGCTGGTGGTATGGAATGGATAGAAAATTGGTCCCAGGGAAAAACAATACGATTTTACGATCCACAGTTGGGATTTAACATGATTTCACCATCAGCAATCGGGTGTTCATTGGATTGGTTTAAGGGACAAATTACAGATATTGATATTACATGAAAACAGGCTGTTCCCACTCAATAGAAGGGTGGGTGTCCTTGTAGGGTGGAGATCAGTGGGTCACATACGCCCATCTGTGAGGGATGGGGGGATGCGTTGGGGGGTTGCCGGCCGCATGAGATTTGAAGTTGGGCACGAAACAGAATGGACCATCATGAAGTATGTATTACACGTGTAAGGCATGCAGATTGATGTTTTATGTACATACACAATTATATAAATTATACCAGCTTACATACATGTATGCTTTATCTCAGGCAGAGTCCCTAGCGCTGGAGCTGGCATACCACCTCAGGGATGGCATCTCCAGGACTTTCCATGGGGATTTACATCAGAATTGCTGTGGTTTTTGGGAGTTTATAGGGGTTTTCTGAACTCAGGGACTCCAAGGGGTCATTTTTCCAAGATTGGTGAATTTCAATTCAATGCGAAGAAACAAGGGGAGAAGGGCACATCATTTTCGCGAGAAACACCCACGTTGAACAGGGACATTAACCAACAAGTCGCGATTAGTAAGGTGATGAGCCACTCAACCAGTCCGTCCTTCTATAGTAGATTGAGGATCGTAGATTTCTGTAAGTTGTATATAGGTATATGTAGGTTCTTGTCCTGGGTGGTCGATGTGAATGCAATTTCATATAATTTCATGACAAATCCAATGGTCATGCTGAGTCATGCTAAACCAGATACAACGAGAATTTGACACGATCAGCGTGGCCATTTCAACGGCCAGGCAGGAAGTAGAAAACCTGCGAACCCAGCCCGGTGCTTAGCTTTTCAGGGCAACAAATGAAACAAATCCGATAGGGACAGAATAAAGACCCCAGATCGGGGATATCCTGTAGTCAAAAATGGCAATTCGAAATCCAAATGTGCATAAAGGAAAACCATCAAAATGGGGGACTGTCCACTGCCAGGCTAGAGTAGCGAGGGGTTTCACCGTTTTCACCGGACTTTGACGTACTGCCAAGGGCATACAAGGCACTGGAGAAGACGGCCAAGACGCAAAATAGTTCCTTGGATTCACAGGTTTGTGTTCTTGAGAATTGGCGACCTCCAAACCAAAGCACCATCTTACCAAGGCAAAGGGTAAAACCGAGTCCCCTTGATTCTTCATTTTATCTGAGACACAATCCCTTTCCACTGCTTTTCCAAATCAATTCGATGCCCACGTTGACTCAAGGGTTGACCAACCACATGGATCATCCATGATCATAGCCCGTGGTGACCCTGAGGATCTGCCTCCAAGGAGCGACCAACTGATCTCCTCCGGTTGGGAAGTGGCTTCATTGCCAGGAGAAATACATATATACATATATGGCCTATGTATATATATATATATGTATATATGTATATATGTATATATGTATATATGTATATATGTATATATGTATATATGTATATATGTATATATGCATATATATATGTATATATGTATATATGTATATATTTATATATGTATATATGTATATATGTATATATGTATATATTTATATATGTATGTATATATATATATGTATATATCATCACACACACATATATATATATACACAATATAGTCGTTAGTGGAGACCAGGGCAGCATGGTGAAACATGGTGGAATCTGAAACGACTCTCATTTTTTTGAACCACGGACCATGATTTCTTCCAGAGATCTTTTTCCCGAGAGCGTCTGAGCGCAGGGTTCTTCCAATAGTGGGGGTCTGTATCTCATCTTCTCATCTTCACACCTTCTCTCACACCTTCTCTCACACCTTCTCATCTTCACATCTTCTCATCTTCACACCTTCTCATCTTCACATCTGCTCATCTTCACATCTTCACATACTCACATCTTCACTTTCTCTCTCTCGCACTCACATCTTCACATCTTCACATACTCACATCTTCTCTCTCTCTCTCTCTCTATCTCTCTCTCTCTCTCCTTTCTCTCTCTCTCTCTCTCTCTCCTCTTTCCTCTCTTCTTTCTCTCTCTCCTTTCTCTCTCCCTTTTCTCTCTCTCGCCTTCTTTATCTTTCTCTCTTTAGGCCGAGGGTGGTGCCGGCGGGGAGTCACGAAACGTCAACCCTTTCGCACGAGGGGCAATCGTCAAAAACTGAGGAAAAATTGCGATTTTACTTGTGCCGGAGCAACCCTTTCGCACGAAATGAGGGTCGATGCGCAAAACCTGAGGTAAAATTGCGATTTTACTTGTGCCGGACTTGTCTGTGTGTAAAAGCGTCTGTGTGTAAAAGCGTCTGTGTGTAAAAGCGTCTGTGTGTAAGAGTCTCTGTGTGTAAAAGTGTTTGTGTGTAAAAGTGTTTGTGCGTAAAAGCTTCTGTGTGTAAAAGCTTCTGTGTGTAAAAGCGTCTGTGTGTAAAAGACTGTGTGCAAAAGCGTCTGTGTGTAAAAAGCGTCTGTGTGTAAAAGCGTCTGTGTGTAAAAGCTTCTGTGTATACAAGCGTCTGTGTGTAAAAGCGTCTGTGTGTAAAAGCGTCTGTGTGTAAAAGCGTCTGTGTGTAAAAACATCTGTGTGTAAAAGCGTCTGTGTGTAAAAGTGTTTGTGTGTAAAAGTGTTTGTTTGTAAAAGCGTCTGTGTGTAAAAGCGTCTGTGTGTAAAAGCGTCTGTGTGTAAAAGCGTCTGTGTGTAAAAGCGTCTGTGTGTAAAAGCGTCTGTAAACGCTTCTGTGTGTAAAAGCGTCTGTGTGTAAAAACATCTGTGTGTAAAAGCGTCTGTGTGTAAAAGCGTCTGTGTGTAAAAGCTTCTGTGTGTAAAAGTGTTTGTATGTAAAAACATCTGTGTGTAAAAGCGTCTGTGTGTAAAAGCGTCTGTGTGTAAAAGCGTCTGTGTGTAAAAGTGTTTGTATGCAAAAGCGTCTGTGTGTAAAAGCGTCTGTGTGTAAAAGGGTCTGTGTGTAAAAGCCTCTGTGTGTCAAAGCGTCTGTGTGTAAAAGCTTCTGTGTGTAAAAGCGTCTGTGTGTAAAAACTTCTGTGTGTAAAAGCTTCTGTGTGTAAAAGCGTCTGTGTGTAAAAGTGTTTGTGTGTAAAAGTGTTTGTGTGTAAAAGTGTTTGTGTGTAAAATCGTCTGTGTAAGAGCGTCTGTGTGTAAGAATCTCTGTGTGTAAAAGTCTCTGTGTGTAAAAGTCTCTGTGTGTAAAAGTGTTTGTGTGTAAAATCGTCTGCGGGTAAAAGCCTCTGTGTGTAAAAGCCTCTGTGTGTAAAAGCCTCTGTGTGTAAAAGCGTCTGTGTGTAAAAGTCTCTGTGTGTAAAAGCGTCTGTGTGTAAAAGCGTCTGTGTGTAAAAGCGTCTGTGTGTAAAAACATCTGTGTGTAAAAGCGTCTGTGTGTAAAAGTGTTTGTGTGTAAAAGCGTCTGTGTGTGTAAAAGCGTCTGTGTGTAAAAGCGTCTGTGTGTAAAAGCGTCTGTGTGTAAAAGCGTCTGTGTGTAAAAGTCTCTGTGTGTAAACGCTTCTGTGTGTAAAAGCGTCTGTGTGTAAAAACATCTGTGTGTAAAAGCGTCTGTGTGTAAAAGCGTCTGTGTGTAAAAGCGTTTGTGTGTAAAAGCGTCTGTGTGTAAATGCGTCTGTGTGTAAAAGAGCCTGTGAGTAAAAGCCTCTGTGTGCAAAAGCGTCTGTGTGTAAAAGCATCTGTGTGTCAAAGCTTCTGTGTGTAAAAGCGTCTGTGTGTAAAAGCTTCTGTGTGTAAAAGCGTCTGTGTGTAAAAGCGTCTGTGTGTAAAAGCGTCTGTGTGTAAAAGCTTCTGTGTGTAAAAGCGTCTGTGTGTAAAAGTGTTTGTGTGTAAAAGTGTTTGTGTGTAAAAGTGTTTGTGTGTAAAATCGTCTGTGTAAGAGCCGCTGTGTGTAAAAATCTCTGTGTGTAAAAGTCTCTGTGTGTAAAAGCCTCTGTGTGTAAAAGCGCCTGTGTGTAAAAGCGTCTGTGTGTAAAAGCGTCTGTGTGTAAAAGCGTCTGTGTGTAAAAGCGTCTGTGTGTAAAAGCGTCTGTGTGTAAAAGCGTCTGTGTGTAAAAGGCTCTGTGTGTAAAAGCGTCTGTGTGTAAAAGCGTCTGTGTGTAAAAGAGCCTATGTGTAAAAAGCGTTTGTGTGTAAAAGCGTCTGTGTGTAAAAGCGTCTGTGTGTAAAAGCGTCTGTGTGTAAAAGTCTCTGTGTGTAAAAGCGTCTGTGTGTAAAAGCGTCTGTGTGTAAAAGCGTCTGTGTGTAAAAAGAGCCTGTGTGTAAAAGCGTCTGTGTGTAAAAGCGTCTGTGTGTAAAAGCGTCTGTGTGTAAAAGCGTCTGTGTGTAAAAGTGTTTGTGTGTAAAAGTGTTTGTGTGCAAAATCGTCTGTGTGTAAAAGAGCCTGTGTGTAAAAAGCGTCTGTGTGTAAAAGCGTCTGTGTGTAAAAGCGTCTGTGTGTAAAAGCGTCTGTGTGTAAAAGCTTCTGTGTGTAAAAGCTTCTGTGTGTAAAAGCGTCTGTGTGTGTGTAAAAGTCTCTGTGTGTAAAAGTGTTTGTGTGTAAAAGTGCTTATGTGCAAAATCGTCTGTGTGTAAAAGCGTCTGTGTGTAAAAGTCTCTGTGTGTAAAAGTCTCTGTGTGTAAAAGTCTCTGTGTGCAAAAGCGTCTGTCTGTAAAAAGTTCTGTGTATGAAAAACTTTACAAAAATACGATGCAAACTATTGTCTTGTACTAGTCATATATTGTCTTGATACTACTCTTCTCGTCTGCCTATAATACATCTTTAATATATTATCTTGTAATATAGTGTCTCCATACTAACAACAGAAGACTCTGCTCCTCTACGCTCTCGGGCCCTCCGTCGTCTAGTTGATGATTTTCTTCCACTCGGGCTTAAAGGAGTTGGCCGCCAACGGTTGGCCGCAGGCAAAAGCAGAAAAACCCGCAGAAAAGACAACGAAAAAAGCAACTGAAAAGACCGCAAAAAAGGCCACAGAAAAGGATACGGAAAAGGGTGCGGAAAAGGTGCAGCCAGCGCCGAAGGCCAGTAAGATCGTACAGGATGGTGACCTGTTGCCTCAAAAGTGTGTCAGTGAGCACAATTGTGAGGTCCCCATAAATTCTTTGGAGGATTTTCAGGTCTGAAAACATTGGATTTCCTGCCAGGAATGAACATTGCCATAGGTCAATTCTGTTGCCCCAATGGCTCTTAGCTTGTCATGGGAGGCGCCTGGCACCAGCGCATCTTCTTCAGCAGCTCCAGCGACTGAGCCGATGAAGGAGCCAGATAGTGAGCCCGAAGCAGAGGAGATGCTTGGCCACATCCAATTGATGGCCATTTTTTGGGGAACATGAGAAGCCAATGAGATCCAGATATGGGATTTTGGGGAATCCAGTTTTGCAGTAAAACCCATGTCTTGCTATATCTTGGTATTTTGACGTCATGGGATGATGATCCAGGTTGAGATGAATTTGGGTTTGTCACCTGGACTGGTGGTGAAATTTCCTTCTGGATGTCCAAGCCGCAGCCCTCTGGCTGTGGCCTTGGCAAGATGTTAAGGTCGCGAATCCCTTTACACCCAAAAAAGTGCAACATCATCACCTCTGTGGCGTCATTCCGAGCCAAACTATTCCTCTTTCTGAAGCAGTTGGGTTTGAGGAATCCCACAACGGGAGTCACCGGGACGAAGGGGTGTGAAGTTCGGACTTTTGCTTCAGCTTTTCAGCTCCAAGGATTGCGCCAGTGAGTGAGGCGGAGCTCCTTCGAGCCTTAAAGGCGGGGTGAAGTGTTTTGGTGTGGCTTGCTTAACTTGCTGAAGGCTAAGCTGCTATTCCAAGAAATTTGCTGCTCCGACATTTACAATCATTTGCACATGACATCATAAAAGAGTCAGAGATCTGTAGAGTCCGTGATGCCAAGAATAGTGCCATGGAGATGAAAGTCCACCCGCCGCAGAGTACTTTGTCCTGAAACGCGTGGATGGGCATTTGTATTTTTTATGAATCACATTGGCTTCGTATCCCAATGCAACTTTCAATGTCGTCCCCTGCTGACCTTCCAATGTGATTTCAAACTATAACAGTTTCAATCAGTTTCAAGGGTCATGAAATAACAAACAGCTTCTTTTGACCATGTTTCCTGACTCAATGGGCCTCCAAGAAGAACATTTTGCATGCGCTTTTATCCAATGTGAAACGGAGAGAAATTCCGGACGTTGACTGCAGAGCTCAGCAGCTTCGGTTCAGGCAGCGCCCCTTGAGAAGCTGGAGACTTCGAAGGTGCCGCAGGCAGTTTTTTTTTGCTGCGGCAGGGTAACCTTTGCACTTTTCGTTGTATAAGTTGCTAGGCTTCCATACCCAAGCTTGTTATCTGCAAGAAACGCAGAATATCTCAATAAGTAACCACATTCAGAATCCCAAGCTTGCTTAACTTGCTGAAGGCTAAGCTGCTATTCCAAGAAATTTTCTGCTCCGACATTTACAATCATTTACACATGACATCGTAAAAGAGTCAGAGATCTGTAGAGTCCGTGATGCCAAGAAAAGTGTTATGGAGATGAAAGTCCACCCGCCGCAGAGTACTTTGTCCTGAAACGCGTGGATGGGCATTTGCATTTTTTAAGAATCACATTGGCTTCGTATACCAATGCAACTTTCAATGTCGTCCCCTGCTGACCTTCCAATGTGATTTCAAACTATAACAGTTTCAATCAGTTTCAAGGGTCATGAAATAACAAACAGCTTCTTTTGACCATGTTTCCTGACTCAATGGGCCTCCAAGAAAGGGATGAGACTTATTCCAAAGTGAATTACCGACAGCGCAACGATTTCAGGGATGAGTGGAGTGAAGTTCCAACCGTTTTTTTCAGAGTCAAGGTAAAAAGGTGGAAGTACAGAGACATAAATTCCCAACAGCGAATCTGTTTTGTTTCAAGCTCTGGAACCAGGGACTGGTGACACGAAAATGCACGCCGCGATAAACCGGAACAGTCCTGGAACCTTGCTGGAACCCAACGCTGTTGGGTTGCAAAGCTGGGCTAATGTCACCTGGAATCAAATCTGGGTTGAAGTGACCAAGCACCTAGTGTAGCACTCTATTGCAGAACTTTTCTTCATCAGCAGATCTGTTTGAAGGCGGAGCCCAGAGAAAGAGATCGATCCAAGGTGCTGCATGGAGGGTGAAGTGTGTTGGTGCGGCAGAGTAACCTTGGCGTTCTTTATTGTCACACATGGGGAGTCGCTCGGGTAGCGACATTCAGAATCCCAAAGCTTGCTTAACTTGCTGAAGGCTAAGCTGCTCTTCGTATTTTTGAACATCGGATTCCAAGACATTTGCAGCTCAGACATCTACAGATGGCATCATAAAAGAGTTAGGGGTTTGTAGAGTCTGTGGTGCCAAGCATAGTGTCATGGAGACGGAAGTCCGCTACTTTCTCCCGAAACATGCGGATCATTGGCTCCATATCCCAATGCAACTTGCAATGTCCTCCCCTGGTGACCCTGGTGCCGTGATTCCTTTCCACAACAGTTCAATCAGTCCCAAAGGTGTGGGCTGTTCTTCCAGTTTTATTGTTGCTTTTGGGCTGTCCATTGTCGACATTTGTGGAAAACATCAGGTCTTGTAGGAATCTAATCACATGTCCTTGGCCATTTGTAGAATTTCTATCCAATTTTGACGCCAAACATATGGAAAAGCGCGGCGCCAATTCCAGCAAACCTGTGAGAACATGAAAGAATCTGGTCAATTTATTGCGCTTTTCTTGCCATCACAGTCATTGAACCTGCGAACACACATTTGACTCCGTTGCAGGCAGCACTGGACACGAAGGCAGAGCCCAAAGATCGGTCCAAGGTGCTGCATGGAGGGTGAAGTGTTTTGGCGCGGCAGAGTAACCTTGGCGTTCTTCATTGTCACACATGGGGAGTCGCTCGGGTAGCGACATTCAGAATCCCAAAGCTTGCTTAACTTGCTGAAGGCTACGCTGCTCTTCGTTTTTCCCCACATCTTTGTGTGGGGTTCTTGTTTTTGGTTGTGCACTTTCGCCTTCCTCCTCTCGCCCGCCTCCCGCCCTTGCTCACACACAACTTGTCCTCACACAACTTGTCACCACACCACTTGCTCACCACACAACTTACTCACACACAACTTGTCACCAAACTAACTCACACACACACAACTTGTCCACACACAACTTGTCCTCACACAACTTGTCACCGCACAACTGCTCACCACACAACTTGTCACCAAACTTACTCACACAATCTCACACACACAACTTGTCCACACACAACTTGTCCTCGCACAACTTGTCACCACACAACTTGATCCCACACAACTTCCTCACCACACAACTTGCTCACACACAACTTGTCACCAAACTTACTTACACACAACTTGTCCACACACAACTTGTCCTCACACAACTTGTCACCACACAACTTGCTCACACACACACACAACTTGTCACCACATGGCGGCATCTGCCTTCACTTTGCGTGGCAGGCGTGGCACTTGGCGACGTGGACGTGCACTCTGCGTGGCAGGCGTGGGACTTGGCGACATCGATCGTCACTTTGCGTGGCAGGCGTGGCACTTGTGGCACCGGGCTGGCTCTGGTGGCGCGCTTGGGTCCCAGTTGACGCCGTGGACGCTGTGGCTCTTTGCGTGGAAGGCGTGGCACTTATGGCGCTGGGCTGGCTCTGGTGGCGCGCTTGGTTCCCGTTTGACGCCGTCGGCGCCGCCGCTGTTTGCGTGGCAGGCGTGGCACTTGGCGACATCGACCGTCACTTTGCGTGGCAGGCGTGGCACTTGGCGACATCGATCGTCACTTTGCGTGGCAGGCGTGGCGCTTATGGCACTGGGCTGGGTTGGTGGCGCCCTTGGTTCCCGTTTGGCGCCGTGGACGCCGCCGCTGTTTGCGTGGCAGGGGTGGGACTTGGCGACGTCGACCGTCACTTTGCGTGGCAGGCGTGGCACTTGGCGACATCAACCGTCACTTTGCGTGGCAGGCGTGGCACTTGGCGACAGATCGTCACTTTGCGTGGCAGGCGTGGCACTTATGGCACTTGGTACCCGTTTGGCGCCGTGGGCGCCCGCGCTGTTTGCATGGCAGGCGTGGGACTTGGCGACATCGACCGTCACTTTGCGTCGCGTGGCAGGCGTGGCACTTGGCGACATCGATCATCACTTTGCGTGGCAATCGTGGCACTTATGGCACTGGACTGGGTCTGGTGATTTGCGTGGCAGGCGTGGCACTTGGCGACATCGACCGTCACTTTGCGTGGCAGGCGTGGCACTTGGCGACATCGATTGTCACTTTGCGTGGCAGGCGTGGCACTTATGGCACTGGGCTGGGTTTGGTGGCGCGCCTGGTTCTCATTTGGCGCCGTGGGCGCCGCCGCTGTTTGCGTGGCAGGCGTGGGACTTGGCGACATTGACCGTCACTTTGCGTGGCAGGCGTGGCACTTGGCGACATCGATCGTCACTTTGCGTGGCAATCGTGGCACTTATGGCACTGGACTGGGTCTGGTGGCGCGCGCAACTTTTTCACACACATCTCTCTCACACGTAACTTTGTCACCCACAAGTTTGTCACACACACACACAACTTTGTCACACATAACTTCGTCACCCACAACTTTGTCACACACAACTTTGTCACACACAATGTTTGTCACACACAACTCTTTTGCACACAACTTTGTCACACACATCTCTCTCACACACAACTTTGTCACACGCAACGCAATCTTTCACACACACACAACTTTGTCACACACACAATCTTTCACACACAGCTTTGTCACAAACAACTTTGTCATACACAATTCTTTCACACACAACTTTGTCATACACAACTCTTTCACACACAACTTGATGCAACTTTGCCACAGACAATCTTTCACACACACAACTTTGTCACACGCAACGCAATCTTTCACACACAACTTTGTCACACACACGCACACAATCTTTCACACACAGCTTTGTCACAAACAACTTTGTCATACACAACTCTTTCACACACACACAACTTTGTCACAGACAATCTTTCACACACAACTTTTTGACTCACAATCTTTCACACACACACACAACTCTTTCACTCACAACCTTTCACACACAACTCTTTCACACACAACTTTGTCACACACAACTCTTCGCATACAACTCTTACAATGATCGACCCTCCACCATCTCCTTTGTCCTTTCTTCTTTCTCCGTGCCACTTTAACCACTTTTTCTGATTATTGGATGAAGTTGACTTGTGGGGTTATCCGGTCCTTTAATTTTGAACATCGGATTCCAAGACATTTACAGCTCAGACATCTACAGATGGCATCATAAAAGAGTCAGGGGTTTGTAGAGTCTGTGGTGCCAAGCATAGTGTCATGGAGACGGAAGTCCGCTCCTTTCTCCCGAAACATGCGGATCATTGGCTCCATATCCCAATGCAACTTGCAATGTCCTCCCCTGGTGACCCTGGTGTCGTGATTCCTTTCCACAACAGTTCAATCAGTCCCAAAGGTGTGGGCTGTTCTCCCAGTTTTATTGTTGCTTTTGGGCTGTCCATTGTCGACATTTGTGGAAAACATCAGGTCTTGTAGGAATTAAATCACAGGTCCTTGGCCATTTGTAGAATTTCTATCCAATTTTGACGCCAAACATATGGAAAAGCGCGGCGCAAATTCCAGCAAACCTGTGAGAACATGAAAGAATCTGGTCAATTTATTGCGTTTTTCTTGCCATCACAGTCATTGAACCTGCGAACACACATTTGACTCCGTTGCAGGCAGCACTGGACACGAAGGCAGAGCCCAAAGATCGGTCCAAGGTGCTGCATGGAGGGTGAAGTGTTTTGGCGCGGCAGAGTAACCTTGGCGTTCTTCATTGTCACACATGGGGAGTCCCTCAAGAAAATGCTGAACATGTCAGTAAGCAACGACATTCAATTCAGAATCCCAAAATTGCTTAACTTGCTGAAGGCTAAGCTGCTATTCCAAGAAATTTGCTGCTCAGACATTTACAATCATTTACACATGACATCATAAAAGAGTCAGAGATCTGTAGAGTCCGTGATGCCAAGAAAAGTGTTATGGAGATGAAAGTCCACCCGCCGCAGAGTACTTTGTCCTGAAACGCGTGGATGGGCATTTGGCTTCATGTGCACAACGGATTCAATCAGTTTGAAGATTTAAGTTTTTTTTTTAAAAAATGCGGATGAACATCCATTTGCCAGGATATTTTGATGTTCACTACAGGGTCTTGTCACATCACCAAATCAACACTTTCTATCACTTTCTCTTTCTCATTGGGGCAGGACCTCAGCATCTTGCAAGAGATGGCAGATCAAGCTCCCGAAGAGTTGAAAAAGCGCGGAAGCTCAGAAGGGGCCCGCTTGGGGGCCTCTTTTGTCAGGAAGATGTTGCGATTCTGGTCAACAATGATACAGACTGAAGTTTTGACCAGCCAACAGCAGCAAGGCAGGACCCACTTTTCAACACCAGCTACTGTAGACATCTGAATAACAGCACTTTGAATACTTGCTACTTCATCTACTATACACGGCAACAACCCTCCCAGCAATATTGTTGTGTTCCACACAGCGTGCTTGCGTTTCAGGCAAATAATCATGGGAAAGACTGGGGCCTACTTCCGCTACATGACGGCGGATCTTGGCAAGGTGGAGTTTGAGGCCGGACATGGCACTGCAGCAAAGTGGATGGGAGGGTCTCTAGGAGTGAGACCGTGTTTCCATGGCGTTCTCACGACCTTTTTGCTACCGCGTACAGCCATCCGTGCAGCCGTGAAGCGTAGTAAATATGAGTAAAGCTGCAAAAGGTGTCAGATTGGAGGTGTCTTAAAAAGTGTGAAAAGTATTGGACATAGCTTGGTTCGGGATGTCATTTGACCTGTCGAAATCAGCTTTCTGTCCTTACATTTTTCAATGAATTGAAACCGCAGTGGCACGGAGACCAGGCAAAGTGCATAGAAGGTGCAATATGCAGTACATCGTGGAGTGAATATGTTGGGCGGGGCGTAGAATTTGATGAGGTTTCGGAGATTGTGGAATGTCACTTTGCACGACCAGGGCAGTACTTGTGCCACTTTAATACATCGGTGATTCGCTTTCTACAGATGTATCTTCAAAGAATGTCTTACATACTTGAAATTATTTTTGGGTTTGGTCCTTTGTTGTGGTGTCTTGTCCACCCACTCCCTGGTGAGAACGCACTCTTGATTGAATTCTCGTCGTTCATGCTGATTCACAAAGACTCAACTCTGGGTTTTGGACTGCTACTGACATGGTTGCGGGTCAGGGCGCATCATTGATTCCCCAAACAGTGTGTCCACACTGAGGGGTTCTTACGGTAACAGTTGAGGCCCGGTGTTCAATCGAGGTGGTATCCGAAGCGTCCGGCATTTTCCCTGTAAATTTCCATACAAAATTGCTCTGGTGACATGCCCATGTGCATGTTGACTGTGCAGGCCCACACAAAACGATGTCCCCGGGAGGGGCGTTTGGCATTTTCCATGTAAATTTCCGTACAAAATGGTCTTTGTGAAATGTCCATGTCCATTTCGAAGGCGCAAGCTCGCACAAAACGATGTCCCCGGAGGGGCGTTTGACATTGTCCTTATCAATTTCCATACAAAATGGCTCCTATAGTGACATGTCCATGTGCGTTTCGACTGCGCGGGCTCGCACAAAACGATGTCCCCGGGAGGGGCGTTTGGCGTTTTCCCTGTAAATTTCCATACAAAATGGTTCTTGTGAAATGTCCACGTGCGTTTGGATTGCGCGGGCTCGCACAAAATGCTGGCCGCGGGAGTCGCGGCCGGCATTGTCCCTATCAATTTCCATAGAAAATGGCTCTTGTGAAATGTCCATGTGTATTTCGACTGCGCATGCTTGCGCAAAATGCTCGCCGCGGGAGTAGCGTCCAGCATTTTCCCCTCTATACTGGCTCTTGTGACATGTCCTTGTGTCTGTCCACTGCCAAGCGACCTCTTTTAGGGAGCTTGCACGGAGATATCTCCAAGACACCTCTCATGGAGATCTTGTTCGCAGATCTTTCCGAGAGACCGCTTCAAGAGATCTGTGCAGAGAGAGCTCTTACAGAGATCTTGTACAGAGATCTTGCCAGGAGACCTCTTTTACAGATCTTTTACAGAAACCTGGAGAAGAGCGCAGAGATCTTGCTCAAAGATCTTGTCTAGGGAGTTTGACTAGAGATCGTGCTGTCGTTCTTTTGTGGAGATCTTTTAGAGACACTTTGTGCAGATAGCCCTCCACAGGGATCTTGTACAGCAGCTTCTCTAGAGAGCTTGAATAGAGATCTCACTTTGAGATGCCTCACCGCGATCTTTGGTGGAAATCTCTGCTAGGCACCTTGTACAGCTAGCCGCTAGCCTTACACAGGGTTCTTGTACAGCAGCTTCCCTAGAGTGCTTGAATAGCGATCTTACTTTGAGATGCCTCACCGCGATCTTTGGTGGACATCTCTTATAGACACCTTGTAAAGCTAGCCTTACACAGGGATCTTGAACAGCAGCTTTGGAACCTGTCCAGGAGATTTTGTGCAGGATCTTTTACAGAGCTCTTCGCAAAGGGAACTTGCAGCGACCTGGGACGGAAATGTTGCCGAATCTCCTGTGCTAGAGATTTTGCATCGATCATTGGAGCTTTACATTGTGTGTTCACTTTGAAAGGAGTAGAAAGGCTTTGGCATGTTCTCCAAGAGACAGTTCTGTATACATAGTCTCACGCGGAGTATTCGCTGCTCCTTCTCGAAGTGGGTTCTCGCAGAGACAGTCGCACTATGTGCAAGTACGGCAGTACAGGACCAGTGCATGACAATGTTGTAGGTCAGCAGTGCAACTGGCTGCATTGCAGCATTGTCATTCTCATACCGGGCGTGCTGTCCACATGGCGCCGTGCACGTTGGGCGATTTGCTGCCTGGACATCCTGATGAGCATACTGCCTTTTTACGGTTTTTGACTTCCTGTGCTTGCAGGAACATGTTGCAGTATCAGTTCGATCCTTGCTGCACAGTTTGTCGGCTAGTAAGGGGCAGTTGCGGAGTGTTTGTGCTAGCAGTGGTATTCGCACAAGGGTAGGGCAGCGGTGGCTGTCAACGGAACAGCTCCAGAAGAGTGTGTGGCAGAAGATCTTCACCCTGCTCCCGCATACGTTGGCTGAACACAGCTCCATCTGTGTGCCTCCACCAGACGCGACGCGAGTAGTGGAGCTCCTGTGTGCTCTCGGACCAGTGCCGCATAGCGGCAAGGATGACTTCAAGGCGATGCCCATCTGGAACGCTGTGAGCGCCCGCTTGGCACAAGCACAGGCTGCGGACAGGACTTGAACCATGTCCGCGGCATTGCGACATGCCAAACTTTTGCCTTCTCCTGCCGCCACCGGCTGCCCAGCAGCTGCTGCGGCATCGCGCACTGCGATTCGCACAGATGCGCCGCTTTGGGACTGAAAAATGTGGCTGCGTAGCTGTTCCGTGGCCTCACCAAAAAAAAACATGTCTACTCTTCTGTTTCTCCTCCCTTTACTTTGACCTTCATTTCCTAAAGCACACTGTTTGGGGTCTCTTGCCGGGAGAATCGCTTTCCAATCCAGAGTTAATTTCTTGTCATTGACCCTGCGACTTTGCTAGGGACTTATTTGCGGAAACAAGTCCTGACCTACCCGCGGGTCTCGTTGTTGAACACTTGCGTTGGTTGCTATCAAGCAGGAATGATATAGGAACCCTAATTTTCCACAGACAGAAGACATTCTCGATATTATTGAAGAATCGTTGTGAATAAGCCAGGTAAACGATAGCAACATCAATTCTGACATTACTCCCTGAAAAAGATCGACAAAAGCGAGGCCGCACAGAGGATCAACTATGAGATGTCAAAAACGGTGAGATTTTTCGGCCATTGCATTGGGACCAACACTGCAGGAAGAAACATGCACAAATCCACAAGTATCCCACGAAAGTATGAGAATTGCAGTGCAAGTAGTCATGACCATCCGTGTAAAGCCCTGTCAACACCATACAAACAAGTGGAAACAACTTCAAATACAAACCTTTGTTTGGTATTTCAAGCGGTGACGAACGCAAAGACATGTACGGAAAATGGCGCATGCGCGCACGAGCAATGAACAAGTGCAAAAACAATGCAACACCGCAACACCACACGGACATTGCAAAATTTAGTATGGATGAGCACCCACAAAGAAACGCAAGCAAGTGCGGGCAAAGGCGATAAAGTGTGCAAAACTGCAAATATGAGCAAACGTGAGCAAAAAAGTGTCAGAAAAAACAACTACCTTAAAACTTGAGCAAACAAACGCAAACAAGTGCCACATATGCACGCACATGCAAGCATGACAAGAAGTTGGCCTCCATTTTTTTTGAGGGTATTCGGCTGCTTAATGAATTTTAATTCTGTGTTGTGCAATGTTCAACGAACGGTTCCATTTGGTTTTGCTAAGGTTTTTAAAGGGCCACAATTGACTTGACTCCAGAATGGTTTCTTTGATTGCACATTTAGTTCAACAACAGTCACGAGGGCATCCGAATCAAAAGGACAGGAATTACTTCCAATGTCAATCCTGTGTCAACGTACTGGCAGCGGAAAGCGACCGAAACCAGGTGGACATGCTAGAAAGGAAAAACATCATCATAAACTCATAAACCGTACTCAATTGGAAGGCGCACATTGCTACTAAACACATAAAGATGCAAACGGACAAACACTATTCCACTGTAGCAGCAGAAAAAAACGCGCTTCTTTATCAGGCAGTTCTTGAGGTTTGGCATGTGACCCGAAAAGCCGACGTGACAAGGACCAGCTGCAGTCTTATCCAAGTCCTCCTCAGGTCAGGATGCAACTACCTTTCAAGGTCAAGATTTAATTCTGGAGTTAACCTTGGAACTGTTGTCACGGAATTTGAGGCTGATGAAATGAATTTAGAACAATACGGTTGTTGACTCTTGAATTCGCCCTCGTCCAAAGCGTTGCAGGAGACAAGAATGATCAAGAGTGTAAGAGTTTCTTGCAAGAGCGTTTTACAGGAGGGCCCAACAAGAGTGTAAAACCAGAGTCTGCCACGAAAGTGATTCACATAGATTTGAGTCGAAGGCGTCCCGCTCGAGTGGCATAGCCTATTCACAACAACATGCTTTTTCCCAGCCATGATGGTTGGTTTTGAAAAAGTGCACGCCTGCAGTTCGTCCGCTCAATGTTTCTTAGTTGTTTCTGTAGAACAACATCCCTTGGTATGTCTGAAACCTTTTCTAGTTGGGGTCTATGCCGGTGTATTTTTTTGTTTCAGATTATCGAAGGAAGTTTAGAAGTCAAACTTCCGAGAATATGGACAGATGAAAAAGCAGAGGTGGGAAGAATCAGAGAAGAGAAGAGAAGCAAAGAAGAAAGAATATCAAAGAAGAGAAAGAGTCAGAAAAAAGAAGATGCAGGTGCGCGAAAAGGTAGAAAAGTCGCGAATCACTACGCCTGCCAAGGATTTTGAAACTGCTACAAAAACCTTCAAGTTTTGCTCGCGCCACAGCGGCGTGCAATTGTTCATCTCTCATCTGGCCGGATGGCTGCGCACCCGCTGCTTTAGCGAGCCTACTTTTCGACCCTCTGGAGCCACAAAACAATGGAAAAACACAGCCTCACTTTTTCGTGCCACGTGCAGCCGTCAGCGCTGCACTCAACTTTCCATTTTTGAAGGCAGTCTCGCAGAATTGCTTCGTTTTTGATTTTGTCAACTTCGAAAACTTGAGAAGTCTCGCAAGATTTCTTCGTTTTTGACGTTGCCATGTTCCAAAATTGAGGGGGTCCCGAAGAATTGCTTAGTTTTTGATGTTGCCCACGTCGAAAATTGAGGAAGTCTCGCAGAATAGCTTCGTTTTCAAGCTTGCAGGTACACAGATAAGTAGGCAGACAAACAGATAGATAGATAGTAGACAGACAGGGAGATAGATAGGCAGATAGATAATTAGATAGACAACTGCAACTACACGACACTACACGACACCACACTACCACTACCACTACCACTACAACTACAACTACAATTACAACAACTACTACAGCTACAACAACAACAACAACTACGACTACTACGACTACTACGACTACTACGACTACTACGACTACTACTACTACCACTACTACCACTACTACCACTACTACCACTACTACCACTACTACCACTACTACCACTACTACCACTACTACCACTACTACCACTACGACCACTACGACCACTACGACCACTACGACCACTACGACCACTACGACCACTACTACTACTACTACTACTGCTACTACTACTACTACCACCCCCACTACCACTACCACTACCACTACTGCTGCAACTGCAACTGCAGCTACAACTACAACTCCAACTTCAACTACGTTACCCTACACTACAACTACAGCCACGACAACAACAACAACAACGACTACAACAGCAACAACAACAACAACAACAACAACAACAACAAGCACAACAAGCACAACAAGCACAACCAGCACAACCAGCACAACCAGCACAACCAGCACAACCAGCACAACCAGCACAAC